GGCATGCTTGGTATTCTTTTCATTGACGCAAAACAGGTGGCAGATCTCCTGTTTCACCTTCTGGGTGGACTTTCGAAGACAGAAATTGTGCCATTTCTGTGTGCAAAGAGTTTAGAAATACAGAGTTATTATGGGGAGGAAGAAAGAGGAATGTAACAGACAATACACGGGGGTAAAGGAGATGAAAACCTACTTCTTGATCACCAAGTCGGACGCACAATCGGACAAAGCGCTTTGGCGAGAGATCAATGACCGCAAGCGGTTCAACCTTCCCGTGCTGGCTCTCTAGTTCCCAATATCTAAAGAGGAAATGGACAGAAAGTTATTCGTAGAAACGAACGAAGTACTACCTGTTGACAGAAAGTGAAGCTGAAATTATAATAATCATAATTAATGGCTACTGTTGTCATATAAGTAAGCGTAGATGACACAACAATATTTACTCACGTCGGAACATGTCAGATGGCTTACCGATAAGGACGCTGATCGCTGCTTAACTGGCCAAAACGACGAACAAAATCGCGCTCCGCCCGATCCCTCTCATCAGCACTGATCAGAGTGTTGTTGTAGGATGTGAGGCCAGGCATTCTGGCAATAACCTCGTTGCGTACCGTGTCAGCGTCAGAGCCCTATGCAGTAAAAAAGTTGAGTTTAGAGATACACAAGCGGAACTATTTTGCTAAGATGAATAGTTAAGACGGTCTAAAGTTCAGGTGGTCACCTGAGTTCTGCCTAAGAAAACAAAAAGGACACGAATGAGACTAGTTTAAAACAATCAGTTTTTTTGAAATAAAGACAAAACATTTGCGTTAATTTGGCTGTCCTTTCAAATTGAACGTGCATTTATATTTGTGTCAACTGGCCAAATGGCAGACTGAGAGTCAGGCAGCAATAGCTCCACCTTACTTGGACTTCACTGGCACTCCCGCTCAGTGAGAGGTTGTGATTTCACCTGACCCTTATATTTACATTTATTCGTTTAACTGATAGCTGTTTTTCACGTTTTCGGAACTTGAGGCTTCTTCAAAAAGTTGGTATTTTCAAACAAACAACTATTACTTATAATATGAATACTAGTTATTATAAATTCATTGAAGGTCGTTCATTGCTATTTCAAAGTTTTCCTACATTCGTTAATCCTAGTTTGCGAGTGATTATCAATCTTCCGCAAATTTCGGCATTTAGCACGAGTTTCGGCCGGTAGAAATGAAGGTATCTGGTGCTCGGAGTGTTGAGTACTTTCACAGAAGACGAAGCTCTCTACTGATTTTCTCGATTTAATCGCACCAGCAGGTGTTCTGGAC